AGCCCCAGATGCCTCCCCCTCGAGCTGCCAGAGCGCGGCCTAAGCAGTCCCTGCTCCCCCCTGAGCGAGGTCTGCTCTGTCTCACCCCAGGTCTCCCTCGAGCTGTGTGGTCACCCAGTTTTTAGGACACAACAGCCCTGAAGCTGCCCCAGGCTGCACTGGGCTCACATGGTCACAGAGCCAACAGCCAGCCAGCCACCCTGTCAGCATCCCACCCTGGAAAGGTGTTCTGTAACCTCCCTTACCCACTCCTTTTGGCATAGGTTGTAACGTGAGCTTCCTTGCAAGGAGCACCCTGTAGAGCAGGAGTTGGGGCACCCTGCACTCCAAGAGGCACAGAGGGCCGAGCAGCGCCCAGCAGCCCTCCAGGTCTGACGGGAGGGTCCACGAAGGGGCCGAGGTGGACAGGAATCAAAGAGGACATTGTGATTTGGTCGAAGGCGCCTGGTTTAGTGCTGTAATTGTCTTTATTTTTTTTTATATATATATTTCTTGGAGTAAACATTTTAAATAAACGGCATCATTGTTTACTCTGTCTTGGCTTTTGTTTCTTTTTCAGTAGTGTCGCTCGTGTAGTGGCTCTTATTTTGCTCCACCTCCTGAGCTGGCCATCAGTGGGTTCATGAGGGGTGGGTGCGGGGCAACAGTGGGCCCTGGAGCCAGGGCTCGGCTTGCCGGGCTCGAGGGTTGGGAGGTGTTTGCCCCAGCCCGCTCCCTGCGGTGTGGGCTGGGAAGGAGATCGGGGTCGCTGCCTGTCTCACGTGGACACTGCTGTATGCTGCGCTTTGTGCCAGGCTGGACTTGCAGGGGCCCTGTGGTCCTTGGACCTCCTGACACTACAGTATGACAGTACAGTATGACAGTACAGTATCACTTTGTGTGTGTGTGTGTGTGTGTGTGTGTGTGTGTGTGTGTGTGTGTGTGGTATTGGGGATTGAACTCGTGCTTGCCAGGCAGGCGCTTATGCTGCCGATATCCTTCTGGCCCGCTGTCTCACTTTGAGTAGGACACGGGCTGTTCCACTGTGGCCTGTGGGCTTGGTGCTGGTCCTGCCAGCACAGGCTCAGAGTCTGCACCGTGCAGGTGCCTGCCTTAGGCTCAGAGGCCCGGTAGATGTGCAAGTATATGAGTTTCTGGGACTGTAACCCCACCAGAAGCTGAGAAGCCGCTTCATATCCAAACTGCAAAGGGTTGGGGAACTACCCGTTCGGGCCCCCCTCCTATCCCTCTCTCAGACAGGAGCTTGCTTTCCCTCAAATATATTCTGCTCATTAAAAAAAAAAAAAGAAACTGCAAAGGGTGTCCTGGGTCCTTGAGCCCGGGCTGCCACTTGAGCCCTGCCTTTAGGGGCAGTGTGGCAACTGGCCACCAGGGGGTGCCGTGAGAGCAGTTCTCTGTCCTTAGCCACCGCAGGGCAGTGTCCTGGTAGCAGGCACTGGCGTGAACACAGAAACATGTCAAGTGGTGTGGCGTCCCACTGACCATCCTGAGGGGTTGGCCGCATCTCCTGCCCTGAAGGAAAGTGAGAGACCCAGAGTGGAAATGGCCTTGGCCGTGGTGGGGGCTGTGAGAGGACCTGTGTAGCATCCGCCTTGTCACTGCGCAGCACAGGGTGGCCTGAGGCCTCCCAGGGGACAGCCTTTGGAGTCGTGGAGGTGCTGAGCACCCCCCCATCACCTGCCTTCAGGAGTTGCTTTGGCCCATAGTCCTGGGGGAAAGGGGCCAGGTTAGGGGTGCTCTGGAGGCCTGAGGGGAGGGCCTTCGGGGGTACTGTTGGGAGGTTTGGTGTCTTGACCCTGCACTGCTGTCAGGCCCCTGAATGCTTCTATCCACCACTGCTGGTGGGCAAGTACAGCCCTGAGCTTAGTTGAGCGCAGGCCCGGGCAGCACAGTGCTGGGGTTCTGGGGAGGCTGTGGAGGTGGGCAGGCCTGAGACTCCGCTTCTGTGAATGAGAGCCGCTAGGAACACCTACCTGGTGGAGTCCAAGGTTTTCTGTAGATGACCCATCTCCACCACCGTCTGGAGCAGCCAGAGCTCTCTGGGTTCAGCGGTCTTCCCTGGGGCCAGTGCAGAGAACGTGCACTAGGTGGACAGGACTGGAGTGCAGTCATGGGGCCAGATGACCATTGCCTGGCAGGTGGGACAGTGGGGAGGGGCGTGGCCTCAACCTAGAGTCCTTGGGAGGTGGAGGGGCCAGGGCTGAGGTGGCCTTGGCAAGTAAGAACTGCAAATCCTTTGTGTTATTGGAGGCTGATGGAGAGAAAACCAACAGCATCGTGCAGGCTGCACAAACTCGGCTCTGACAGATGGCTGTGGAGCACACCTGCTGGCAGGTGGGGCCCATGCTGGGGGACCAAGGAAGTGCAGGAGGGAAGGGGTAAGCCTCCTGGGGTCCCCAGGGCTCTTCTCCAGTGGGAACAGCACCTAGGCTGACCAGGGAACTCTGGGAAGTATCTAGGTATTCTCAGCACAAGGGGAATGACCTGCTCGCCGCAGGTGAGAGTGGAGTGGACAAGCTCCCAAGGGAAAGAACCCTGCACGATCAGATGGGACAGTAGACATTCCCTGTCTGCTTTCTCTTCCCAGAGCCTGCCTGCTCCCCTTATTCCCAGAAAGGATCCAGAGTGACACACACACACACACACACACACACACACACACACACCCTCTAGCTTTTCCAGTTCATTGGAAAATGCACATCAACTCAGGGCTGCCTTAACCGTCCACCAAGGGCCCCACCCCTCACATCTGTAAAATACACTGCAAGGGTGGCTCAGCCCTGTTCATTCCAGCACTTGGGAGGCTGAAGCAGGAGGATCTCTGAAAGTTTGAGGCCAGCCTAAACTATATGGCAGGACACTCTCAGAAAAAAAAAAACAAAACCCTGGAAAGCCTGTCCTTGGTCAGCCCTCATCCAGCACCACCCTGGGTGGCCCAAAATTGCCTGGAGCTCAGAGTTCAGATCCCAGCTCCCAGCTGTCCCGGCTACTGCCCTTGAGCAAGCCCAGTCCCTGAGCTGGCTCTGGGGCAGAGTTCTCTCCAGCAGGCCCAGGTCGCTGAGCGAGTTGCTCCACGCTATGCCAGACCTTAGCTGTGGAGGACCACCTGAGCAGCTCTCCTTGAAAGAAGAGCGATTGTCTCCATTTTGACTGAGCCTGACCCTATTTCCTTGTATTGTTCTGCACAGAGCTGGCTAGGACTGCTGTTTATCCTTCAGTTGGCCTTAAGCAATGTGTATTGGTCTAGCTGAGGTGCTGGTGATAGTCTTTGAAGGTGGCCTGCACGTTTCCCTGGTAACCTATACCTGCTGCTCTTTAATGTGAGCCGGGTTGAGACAGGACGGTAGAGCTAATGCTCCGCGGCGCCAGCTGGGATCGAGCCTCCAGACAGAGGCTATGACTTCCTGGGACTTGAAAGGCTACAGGGGGGCTGGTGAGATGGCTCAGTGGTCTAAAGCACCTACTTAGAACAAGCTTAGCAAAGCACAGGGACCGCGGTTCAATCCCCCAGCACCACATGCCAGCCAGCCCCGCCCCCTGGTGGGCTGAGCTGGCCACACACACACACACAGAAATACGCACACACACACACACACAGAAATAAAAATAAATTTAAAAAAAAAGCTACACCAAAGCTGAAGCACCAGACTTACCAAAACATTAGATACTATATAATGCAGATTACTCTCTCTGCATATCCTCTCTACATATCGCAGAGGCAAATTTAGGCCACCCACTAGCTCAGCTCATCGTAGTCTCTTTCCCACAATTCTCAGTCAATCCTCAAGCCACTGCCCCATTGAATAAAACTGGGTGAGGCCCTGGGTCACTCTCTTGGTTCCTGGAAAGCCATCTTCAGGGCTGGACTTAGAGCCCCTTGACTCCCCGATGATTGAAGATATAGTGTCTTTATTTTCGCCGTGGGTTGCATTGTAAGTGGTAGATTGGAATCATTTTGGTGGGATTCCAATACTGTAACTTTGGGATTACAAATATTGGCTTCTTGGACCGAGACAAGGACCTAAAAGTATCTCTTACACTTAGCCATCCTGGTCACACTGTGTTGACCCAGGTGTGAACAGGGTGGCTGTTGGGTGTCTGGGGTCTCACACGCCTGCTCTTCTCAGAGTGACTCTGTGGACACGGGATCCCATTCAGCCTCAGAACTGAGAGCATAGGGCCGGCTCTCTGATGGCTGTTGATGCTGCAGAACGTTACAGCAGGGAGCTCAAGGAGAGAGCACTGTAGCCAGGAGCAGCCCAGGACAGGGCCTGTTCCTGTGATGGCAGCAGGCAGCAGAGAACAGCTGGACCCTGCCAGCTGCCCACCACTCTGGGGGCTGGATCAGGGATGCCTGCGGGCCTGTCCCTGCCCATCAAGGGGTATCCATGAACGGGCTCCCTTCCCTGGCTCACCCTGAGGACAGCGTCCTGGGAGACCATCATATCAGGGCTGGTGGCATAGGCTGGGAACCACAGTGGTTAAGCTTGCTGATGCCCTTTTTTTTTTTTTTTTTTTTTTTATGTGTGTGTGTTTGGCCAGCTCAGCCCACCAGGGGGCGGGGCTGGCTGGCATGTGGTGCTGGGGGATTGAACCGCGGTCCCTGTGCTTTGCTAAGCTTGTTCTAAGTAGGTGCTTTAGACCACTGAGCCATCTCACCAGCCCAGCCCTAAATTTGATGGCATTTGATCAAGCAGATGAAAACAAGAGGTGGTGGGTCCCAGAGGGGGCGCTGCTGACTCCAAGAGCAGCCCAGCATGCCTCTCAGACACACTTTAGACCTACTAGACTGTACCCACCGTGAGAGATGAGGAGCCACCAACCAGAGATTGAACTCAGGACCTTGCACATGCCAGGCAAGCGCTTATTCTACTGAGCTATCTTCCCACCCCCAATATTCAGTTCTTCAGGAAATAATTTCAGTCCACTTTTTTTTAAAGACGGTCTTGCAGTTGTAGTTCAGGCTGGCCTTGAACTCAGTAATCCTGCTTCAGTTTACCGAGTACTGGGATTAGAGTTGTGCACCATCCTGCTTTACCCAACCACTTGTTACGAGAAAATTAAACAGCAAGTTGGGATTCAGCCAAGTCCCCGTTTCTGAGCAGGGATGGCTCAGTCAGGGAGACCCCAGTTAGCACATAGTCCTTTCCCAAAGCAAGGAGGCACCCACCAAAGTGCATTTAGAAGAGTTAGAGCTTTATTGGCTCTTTAGGAAAGACAGTCAAAGGTCGTTTTGCCATCTCCCCCTTCCAGGAAGTTTGAGCTGGTAGCATGTCCCACCCTACTGGATCTGAGGGACAAGGGTGACCAGGGCAAGGGAAGCACTGCCTCGACCAGCCACCCCCACAAATGGCCCAGGAATGTTGTTGCTGCATGGTGATATTGGGCTGTCAGTGCTAGAGCAGGGCCGGGCAGCTCCAGGGCTGGGGCTCGGGGCTAAGGCACCATCTTCCACCACTTGAAGGCTAAGGGCACCCGGCGGATGTTGGTACAAGCACAAGCATCCCCGACATCCGTCATGTAGCAGTCAAAGTCATCAATGAAGGTGCACTTGAGGCCCAGGGGCTCCAGTAAGTGGCAGATCTTTTCTTCCAGGCAACACGTGCCCTTGATTTGCGGCCCAAAGGGCTTGGGAATCCCCAGCTCCTTGCCCATCACCATCATTCGCAGCTGTTAGGCAATGAGCAAGGTCCAGGGGTCAGATCCATGGAAGAAAGCCCCACCTGTCTACTGGGTGAGGGTGCTGTGGCATTAAAAACCCCACCTCCCTTACTGAGCGTTTGGCTGTATTAGGACAGCCAAGCAAGCACATAGTACCATTATTTGCCAGGCCTGCGCCCATACAGACATCACCAATCAATCTCAGTGAGATTGATGGGTTTCCACTTAGTCTTCCAATGACTTGACACATTTCACAGTAGCACAACTACTTGTGTCTGGCCACAATCTGGTCTTGTTCAGTTCTGTATTTCTTTCATATTCCTATTCTGATTTATTCCATCCTGGCTGTGCCACTTCCTGCAACCTCTACCTACCCTGTCCTTAATCTAGCACTGTCCATTGATTTCTGTCCACCTCTCAGCTCACCCCCCAAAAGGCCAGGGGCTATGGTGGGCTTAGCCATGCTGATCTGTTAGAAGACACCTACGGGGTGACTAGTGAGGCACGGCAGGGTCAGGCCTGTGTCCCCAGGACCACAGAGGTCCCAAGTTTAATACCTGTTACCAGAGAAAAAAATTACAGATCAAACACCTTGGAACTCACTTTAGACACCCATGTGATAGGTCATGGTTGGTACAGAAGTGGTGACACAGCTACTGCTAGCAAAGGCTGGTGCAGCAGGGCCACTGTCCCCATCCCTACTCCCTCCTGCCTTCCGACTCCAGTTAGTCATTTTACATGTCTGAGTTCCACCTGTTCTGGACCCTGGGACAGAGCACAAGAGGCTCCTGGTCTCTGCCAGCATCTGGCTCAGCAGCATGACGTTCTTGTTGGGAAAGGGGCCTCTCAAGTCTGTTCTGGTTGGGGCTCAGCCAGCCAGGACCCTGGCCTGCAGTCACCACTCACAGGCAGCTGGCCTTTAGGCCCAGCTCACCTGTCCGTTGGGACAGGGCTCCTGGCCTAGCTGAGGGGAAGAAAAGGGGTCCACCTCACAGGCTTTGCAGGTGCTGTGCCTAAGCCCCGCAGGCCTTTGCTGTGGGTGGCAGGGTGACGTATCTGGCAAGGTCCAGTGACATTGGCTGAAGATGTACCATCCCCCCCCCCAAGTCCTGTGCCGCCAGTGTCCCTCACCATGTCAGGGAAGTAGGGCCTAGCGAAGAGCCTGTGGGGCTGCTGGTCAGAGGGCACATTGGTCAGCTTCTCCAAGCAGAACAGCTGGGGGACATCGATGATGTCCTCATCCTGCAGGCCCAGCTTCTCCTTCAAGATGGCACGGTTCAGATGAATGCATTTCTGCAGGGTGGGAGAGACCCTGCTCAGACCCCCAAGGCCAGCTCCATGGGTCCCATGGCTGTCGCACCAGGACAGTCACCGCCCACCTGGTACCTAGCCTGCCAGGTCTGCAGGAGTCAGAACTCTCCTGTTCTGGGCACAGAGCGCCGCCAGGAGCCAAGAGAACCTAGTGAGCAAAGAATGCCACTCTGGGCCTTGGTCAGGCCACTCCCCTCTCTCCAGCCTCAGTTTCCCCTTTTAGAGGCTGGGTGCCTGCTCCTGGGACTCTGGTATTTGCAGCCAGTGATGCACAGTCTACGATCAGAGAACCCAGCAATTCTGATCACGGTCTCGGGACTGCTGTGACAACAGCCACTTCATCTAGGAAGCACCGAGGCAGCCCGGGTCAGTTTCTGAGAGCGAGAGCTTCTCGGCAGGTGGGGCAGGCCTCCGCCAGGGGGGTCTGAGCTCTGTCCCTGTTCTGGGCAAGTGAGAGCACGAGCTCTGATGCGCACCTGGACACAGAGACCCAGTTCCACCTTGTCCTAGTCAGAGCCTCCGTCCCGAGCCTCCCTGCCCTCATATGCAGGCTGGGTTCTCCTTTACGTCCCCAAAGTTCCAAGCTGCAGCTCCCATGATGCCTGGACCACAGCAGTGCTTACTGGGAGCTGGTCCAGACTGTCAGGGCCTTTCCTATCGCTTGGAAACAGGGAGCTGAGCACTCCTGGCATCCAGCGTAGGGAACCAGCTGAGCTGTCCCCAGCCCCGGATGCCACCCCCAACCTCCCTGTCCATCACCACCATCCCAGGAGTCTGGATCCAATCTATATGAGGCTCTGGAGGAGAGAAAAGGAGGCTGGCAGCCACCCTCCTTGGGAGCAGTTCCCACACCCTGATCCCCTACCTCTGCATAGTCGTTTTGATTTTTCAAGCTTTTGTCAGAAAGAAATTGATTGATAGTTTTGGCCTCCCTTCCTGGAGGAGGGAAAAGAAGACAGGCAGGTCAGGGCAGGGGCTGAGCCACCCAGAACTGGGCACAGCAAGCAGGTAACAATGGCAACAGGCCTGCTAGTCCCCAGGGCGAGGCCAACCCCCAGTGAGTGGAATTTACCAGGGTCCACATCTGAGAGCCGAGGCAGGACTTGTCACCCCCGCCCCAACCCATCACTGTCCCTAGGAGGCAGCCTAAAACACTCAAGCAGGGAAACTTGCCCCCTGCTCACTTCAGGGCCACCTTTGTGTCCTGGGAGCCTGGCTCCTCCTGCCTATGATCCTGACCAGGTTATGTTCATTTCATTCCCAGTCGCCTAACCTTTGGGACAGGATGTCAAAGATGCAGCCACCAGCCCTGAGGTAATGCCAAGTCTTTGTCAGGTGGTCCATGCTCAGCAGATACTATGTTCCACAGTGCTCATGTGGCCAGGCGGCCAAGGGGCCCCACCACAGAGATCACCCAGCTTCCCAGGAAGATAAGCCACTGGCCCCAAGACCTCAAGTGTGGGTACGGAGGCACGAGAGCATGTCTTGACACCCCACCCTGTTTTCTTGGAAAAGCCCGTGTTCTCTTCATATCTAGGTCAGAAATGCCCCAGCCCCAGCCATACCACTACTACTTGTCCACTTACAGATTTCCTGGAGGATGACCCAGGGGACCCAGGAGACCTGTGAAGCCCCAGTGCCCAGCTATGTAGACAGTATTCCATGAAGAGGGCCAGACCCCAGCCAAGACCGTCCAGGTGAAGGCCACCTGTGGCACGGAGCCGGCTCGGGTTCTTGGAGGAATCCCTTACCGTTAGCATGCAGCAGGTCAGGGCTGACACCCTCAAATAGAGTCGCGTCCCCGTAACCCTCCTCCTGCTTCTCACGGAGCAGACTGTAGCAGGCGCAGGGGCTGGCTAGGAGCAGCCGGAAGTCCTAGAAACGGGGCCCCAGAATCAGAGGCCAGCCCCCACCTGCAGTGACGCTGTCCGAGGGTTGCCAGTAGAACAGACCTTTGCGTCCCCACTTTGGTTTTCCACCGGGACAAAGCACATGAACTCTTCCAAGCGGCCGGTCATCAGCCAGTCTGAGAAGAGCTCCACGGGTGCCTGCACCTGCTGCGCGTAAAGGAAGTCGCGGAGGCTTTTGCTCATGTCCCGGCCATCGATGCTGGAGAGGAGACAGGACGTAGCCCGGGTCAGCGCGGCTGCTGGCCCAGTGCTGGGCTGCGCCAAATCACCACAGGTGGTTAAGAATTCCTTCCCTCCAACCCAACTCAGAATGGAGCCAACCTCTGCTCCACAGATTGAATCTAGGTCGCAGGATCGTCTAGATTTAGGTTAACAGGCACTAAGAAATCCAGCCGCCTTGCACCTTCGCTAGGCTAAATTCCTGCTTTGATATAAGCCCTGGAATCACCACAGAATGTACAGTTTTTTTTTTTTTTCTTACATTTAGTGTCCTACATGAGCCGAAGGCTCAAACACCCGAATATCATTTGAAAACCGGTCCAAGGCAGATGCTGGCTAAGGTCCAGGGAGAGTCAGTGTGGCCTTGTGGCCAGCTAGAGCCTGCTCCTTTGTATTGAGTCATCTGGTCACCTCTGGGCTCACCTGGGGTAGAAGCTGCTGCCAAAGAGGACTCTGCCCAGTGGGTAATCTTTCCCCTGGGCCTTGACAGGTGGGGACACCATCAGGTTCCCGATAGTGTCCAGGCTGGCCACCGAGTGGTCCTTGGTGTCTTGGGTCACGTAGTAGCCAATACCAGGGGTCTGGAAGAGGACAGGGAGTATTAGGAGAGGGTGGCAGTGAGCCCCAATATTACTCCTGATCTAGACCATCAACTCAGCACACATACACCCCCCAGACCACCTATACCTCCCATGGGGACCCCATCATTTCTATGCAAACACCAGGCCCCAGAGGTTAGACTATATTCAGGTCAGCCATACTAAGCCCCACACCAGTGCATATTTCATGGGGAAATCGTCAAGTGCAATAGCCCGAGGGGTGTCAAGGACAAAGGATGACATCTTGTGGGGCATCTCCGTGTAGCAGAAGGCCATCTCGTCCTGGAAAAGACAGAAAGGTAGACTCTGAGGTCATCTCGCTCCAACAGCTCTTGCTCACATCTAATCTGTGGGCCCCCAGCTCCCTCGACCTGGGCCACCTCCAGAGACACCATACCATCAAACCCTCCTCTGTCAACTCCTGCTCAGCTGCCCTTTCCTGAAACACGAGTCATCTCGATTCTTCTCTTCCTCCCCAACCAAACTGTCAAGCCTTGCTGGCTTTCCCTCACGCACGAGTGGAGTCACTTCATCTCTGGTACCCTGGGAGAAACCACACGATTCTGCCACACCTTCCAGCCAATTTCTCCTTGCTCAGGTCTATGCCCTGCATCCTGGCTAGTAGGGCTTCAAAAAAACAAAACAAAACAAAACAAAAAAAACCTTCCCTTCTGGAGACAAGGTCTTGCCAAGTTGTACAGGCTGGCTCTGAACTTGGAGGCCCTCCTGCTTAGGTAGCTAGAACACAGGCATGTGCCATCACAATAGAACTCAACTTTTCTTTCATGACTAGTTTGTTGTTTTCAGCATCATTTCTCCCTTTAAAATTTTTTATTTTTTTTATTTTTTAAGCAAGGATCAGGGACTGAGGAGATGGCTCAGTGGAATAAGCGCTTGCCTGGTAAGTACAAGGTCCCAAGTTCAATCCCTGGTTCAGAAAAAAAAATAAATAAATAAAAGATCTACAGGGTGTTCAGGGTCTCACTACACTAGACCAAACTTGTAGTGATTTTCCCGTTTCCAGCCTCCCAAGAGCTGGGATTACAGGTATGTGCCACCACACCCAGCCACCGTCTTAGTGTGCCCCAGGGGCAGGGCCAACATGGCAGAACCCCTGACCCCCGACTCCTGTGCCTGCTTGCAGGAGCTTTAATCTGCTGAGCTATTTGGCTTGCCCTCACTTTGCTTTTGTTTCTGTTCTTTATCCTGCATCTTGGTGTTGCCGCAGCTGTCACCTTTCTTTTTTCTTGTTTTTTTTTTGAACTGGGGATTGAACTCAGGCCCTTGCGTTTGCCAGGCAAGGGCTTATTCTACTGAGCCATCTCCCTGGCCCCAATTCTAACCTACCCAGATGAGCCTGAGGCTCATCTGAAGACTATCCCAGTCACTAGCGCCTCACTTGGCCTCATGCTAGTAGCTCACCATCTTATTTCCAGGCTTCTCAGAATCCCCCCTTGGCTTCTCTCTACACCTCAGAGGCGCACCCAGCATAAGGCACTTGCTTGAGCATGGGGCAGGATGGCACCCCAGAACCGAGGCCGAGCTGGCTCTGCGCCTGGTGCTGCCCCAGGGCAGGGCAGGCCCCGCAGCCACAGCACAGCTCAGACCCTACAGCGGAAGGCAGCAGACCCACCAGGATCTCGGAACACACACACGTTCCGAAGGGAAAAGCGGTTGGACCCCAAACTTTATCCGTCAGCAGGAGGACTCGGGCACGCATCACCTCACCAGATCCCTCTGAGGACTCCGAGGCAAAGATGCCTCCACCGAAGTCCTGAATCAGAGCCCGAGTCTCCCCCCCTACAGGCCAGGCTGCAGGGAGTGAGGAGTTACCTGGAGCCACTTGCCCGAGCGGTTGGAGTCCTCGTAGACAGATGCCATCTGGCTGTCAGTCTTCTCACTCAGTGCCACCACGGCATCCACAAAGCCCTGGACCTTCACGTCTCTGCATGGGAAATTAGCCTGCTCGGGGAGGGCCTCCTGCTGGGGTCACTATGTCCCAAGGTGAATGGAGCCACTGTCCCCTTGGGGTACAGCATGCTAGGCAAGTGCTCTACTAGGGACTATACCCGCAGCCCAAGCCATCATTTTCCATCTTACCTCAGCCCCTTCTTTTGATATTCACCTCACTCCCAACACCTTGGCCTGATGTCCTGTCCTGACCTCCAGTTTTCTCTTGCGCCCTCCCAATCTTTGACCAACAGCCTGACCTCATCGGGATCCCCAGATCTTGACTGCTGTCATTCCTGCCATTTCTTCACCTCCCTTTGCAGCCAGAGTGGAGTCTCTGCTGCCTCATGGTCACTATGCCTTTGACTTTCATCCTGGGCTCCCTCCCTGGCCGACCTCCAGCCCCAATTGGACCCAGCTTCTATGCTATTCCTCCCTAGATATCAAGTCACCCAGAATAGTGGGAGAGGGGACCATGCTCTTCCAGCTGGGCCTGGAAGAGCAGAGGCGCAACCTCATGTTACAGGGTCAGTGTGAGCTTGGGCTCATCCTGCTGCTGCTCTCCAATAGTCACTGACTGCCTATCAGTCTCCTCTCTGCCTCCGACCTTACGAAAGCATCCCTCATCCAAGGCATTTGCTAGAAAAACCACCAACGGCAGCGATACCCAGAGGCAGAACAGCTCTCCCTGCACCGGATTCAGAGTTCCCATCAAGCTCCGCCCACTCCAGCCTTTCACCTTTCATTTATTGGCACCGGGGATTGAACTCGGGACCTTGTACTTGCTAGGCAGGTGCTTACGCGGCTGAGCTATGTCTCTGATGAGCCTTTTGTTTATACCTGGACTTCCACATGGCCAGAGCTACTTGAAGACCCCTTGATATTCCTCACCTATGTGTCCCAGAACCCTTCTCCCCTCAGTGCCATGCAGAACCCTTTGCCAGCCTGCCCGTAGGCCACTGGCACACGAGTGCAGTGGCTCCCAGAGCAGCAGACAGCTTGGCCTAGATGGCAGCATTCCCCGGCCTGGGCTCTGAGCCTAGCAGAGATTGAGATGGCAGCCTAAGGGAAGCATGGTAACAAGACAGAAGAACCAGGGCACTGTCCCAGCTGCAGGAGGCCAGGGGACAGGCCCACCAACTTTCTAGCACTGTTACCCAGAATCTGGAACAGCTTTGCCCTGGTGCATGGACCCAAAGGTTCTGTTTGTTTTGCCCCAACTTCCTGGTCCAGAGCGCCAGGAGCCTCCTGCCCTCTCTGCAACATGCTCATCCGCACCCCTCCTCTTTCCTGACGCTACCTGAAACCATGCTCTTCGTGGGACCCCCCCACAAAGCCAGGGCTGGGAGACCGCTTCACTCACTGGTCCACGCCAAGCCTTGGTAGTATTCAAGCACCTAGTAGACGTGTCTGGGGAGGTGCAGGCCGCAGGGCTGAAGAGCTCCACTCCAGGGGTGACATCTAGCCATCTTCACCCAACCTCCCCCCCACAGAGCAGGTATCAGGGAAGAAGGCTGCCGTAGCCTGAGGACCCTTACCTGTACAGGTACACCTCTAGGGGCATCTGGGTGCTAGGGGTGAAGATGCAAGGAGCCACCCGGAACACTACCGTGTCTTTGTACACCGGGATCTCTGGAATTGACTGCAAAGCAAGACAAGGTCCTAGAAGTGACCAGGCTCCACATGTCCTATCCTCCCCCCTTTGCACCCCTGGGGCCTCAGCGCAGGTCACCACGGATCCCTCTGCTTTCCGCCACCTTCTCTGGAAACCCTACTGTCTGGCAGCCCTTACCCCTACTTCTGGAAGACACTTTTCCTCAGCTCTTTGGTGACATACTGAGATTGGAGGATCTTCAATCAGAGAGACGGAGAAGGAGATGAGGCCTGAGAAGTTGGCAGAAGGGAACTCTATTGCTTCTACGTAGATGGTCTCCTTCCCGAGTTTCACCAGGGGGTTAAAGATGTAGGAGTTACGGTCTGGGCCTAGCAACAGCTGGAAGGTACCGGAGGCATCTCCTAGGTCAAAGAAAGAAGGGGCCATCAGCCACGGGAGTAGCTGAGCTGCAGGGCCCTCATCTGACGGTGAGGACACCAGCTTACTCCTTGGGTTAGATGCCAGGTGGGGCTGCAGGAAGACAGAAGTGGAGCGATCCTCCTGCCTCAGCCTCTTGAGTGCTGGAATTGCAGGAAGGCACCACCATGCCTGGTACTGCCAGGGAGATTACAACAAAGGCAAGAGGCCAAACACTGCAAAAGTGGGTATCTTACTTTCCTCGAGAGGTTTATTTTGGGTCATGTTTTTAGTCCTTAGTTTGTCAGCTCGGTGGTAAGAGGGCATGGCGACAGGCCTGTATACAGGAGAGAGGTGCCAAGCTTGTGGTAGCCAAAGGGCAGAGGGCCAAGGCACAGGCAGGAAGGGAGAGCTAACCTTCTGTGTCATGCCACAGTGACCCACTGTCCCGATCAGGCTCCACCTCCTCAAAGCAAGTCAGCTCTAACGTCCCATAACCCAATCGCCTTCCAAAGGTGCTACCTAAGGCTCACACGAGGCCTTGGAGGGACATGTAGCTATAAACTCTGGCCTCCAGCACACCCATGCACATCTTTGTGTCAAACCCACCAAGTCCGTCTCCAAGTCTTCACAGTTCCAGGATTGCTGAGAAGTCCAAGTCCAAAGCCTCTTCTGAGACTACAGGCAAATGTCTACTGAGCCTCCATTAAAAAACAAAACAAGGGAGCCAGGGGGATGGCTCAGTGGAATAAGCATTTCCCTGGCAAGCACAAGGGTCTGAGTTCAATCTCCGGTTCCGCAAAAACAAAACAAAACAAAACAAAACAAAACAAAAAAAACAAAACAAAACAAAACAAAAAAAAAAAAAACAAAAACCAAACAAGATAGTGTGCCTGGGGAGAGTCACATGAAGAACAAACACATTCTCTCGGGCTTTCACAGAGAGCAAATTGGTCAAGCAATGGCCATGACTCATCCTCATGGCTGACACT